CACGTGTCCCAAATACAGGACTTGACGCTTGGCCCACTCACACTTCTTCGGGTTAATCTTAAAATTAGACTCACGCAATTTGGTCAATATCTGACGTAGATGATTCTGATGCTCCTCCAAGCTCTTGCTAAAGATCAGAATATCATCTAAATAAACTACAACAAACTTATCCAACCAATCTCTAAACAGATCATTCATGCATCTTTGGAATGTTGCAGGAGCATTGGTCAACCCAAACGGCATCACAACAAACTCGTAGTGACCATAGCGAGTCCTAAAGGCCGTCTTGTGCTGGTCCTCCGGCTGTRCCTCAACCTGGTGGTACCCGGACTTCAGATCTATCTTGGAGAAATACTTACATCCYTGCACCCTGTCWAAGAGGTCATCAATCCGGGGCAACGGTTCAGCATTCTTGACCGTGATAGCATTCAATCCCCGATAATCAATGCACAACCGCAGTTCACCCTCTTTCTTCGGCACGAATAGAACCGGTGCACCGTATGGTGACAAACTGGGCTTTATCCACCCCTTCTCAATCAGCTCATCTAGTTGCCTACGCAGTTCATCCAGTTCCTTGGGAGACATTCTATAGACTGGGTCCCTGGGAATCTTGCTACTGGGCTCTATTTCAATCCGGTGCTTGACGTCCCGCTCTACTACTCCAGTTGGGGCTTCTCCGACATCAGCAAACTCTCGCAGCACGTTCTCCACTTGGGGCGGCGTCTTGTCTTCACCCTTACTCTCTTCATTCACCGGTTTCACATAGGCCACAAACACCTGATCTTCCAACTTTTCCTTTGTCACGTGTCGGGCGAACGCAGGGGCACTCATACAGCAAACAGATAAGTGGGACTCTAGACCGGACTCATGGAACAGCCTCATTTTTTTCTTGTCCCCGGTGGGGCTGGGCAGCCAGCACTCAAGCTCACCCATCTTGACATCTGCCATGGTTGATTCTCCCCACTCTGTCCCTAAAATCAAGTCAAAGGAAAGGTTGTCTTCCACTAAGAGGGTGAGGGAATGCAAAACCTTCTCTACTTTCCTTCCCTCCTCTAACCGGAAGTATGCCTTGATCCCCTCGACATATTCCTCCACACGCATCTCACGATTATCGGCCAGTCTACTCGCTCAACTTCTGCACCTTCATTCCTAAGTGCAACTTCTGCAGTCCTCTTCTACTAATAAAACTACGCGTAGAGCCACTATCCACTAAGGCTCCTACTCGCGTCTGACTAATCTCTACATCTCCCAAAATTAGTTGTCCTCTTCTCTTCTTCATTTCAGCCCAGGCGGGGCGACGAGTGATCAGCTCATCACCAATGCCTGCGAGGGAACCACCTAGAGAGACCCTAGCACAAGCGGTCTCTGGACAGCCATCTAGGTGGGGGCCTGCATCAGCTTCTGCCATTGGGCTCTTTAGACAGGAGGGTGTCTGTTCAGCGCGCGCTTCTATCTGTTTGTCTAAGTCTGAAGGCCCTGTAGGAGCAGCTGCCACCCCTACTGGCTGCTCCCTTTTGGGTAGCGGTGGTCGGGGCAAAAACAGACAATGTGATGAGGATCACCACATTTCAAGCATTGATTGGCGTTCAGCCTTTTCTGCCACACTGTCTGGTCAATGCCCATCTCCTTCCAGGGCTCGCCATCAGCAATCCCGGGATGGGTTGGCCATGGCTTGCGCCCTCTACCTCTTCCTCCTGTGAAGGGAGAACCACGTCCACCTTGCGGGGAACCATACCCCTACCTCCCACGTAGTAGTTACCTTCGCTGCTACTCCCCTGGGTGTCGCGTCCTCTACCTCCACCTCTTCCTCAGCCTCCTCTACCTCGGCCTCCTCTACCTCCTTGTCGCCCTCCCCCGCGGGCTGCAACAACCGCATAGTCCCCTCCCTGGGCTAATTGGTTGCTGTCCAGGTCTTCCAATCCGTAATCTATGTTTTCGTAGGGTAGAGCCTCCACTCCCCCCTCCTCAAATGTAACTAGAAGCCCGTCCTTCCCCTCGATGTTACCGGATATGGTCTTGTTCTTCCATCGGTTCCCTTTCTGCAAATCCTTCCGATAATGACAATAATTTGCTTCTTGAAGGAAATCGGCCTGGTCTACAGCAATCTTGCTGAACTTTTCATACGYCATGCCCTCTTCCTTTSTCTGGGCGTACAATTGGGACTTCAGAGGATCGGGAAGYGCCYTTRCGAAGTTGTTCAGAATCTGCGTGGGAGTCAACCCGTGCTCGGGACACTGCAGCAGTTCGTCCATTGTGGACTTCAAAGCGGACACACTCTTCCACCTGCGATTACCGATGTTGAGAATCAGGTACTCTGTACGTYGGGCCAGGTTCTTGTCCTCGAACCTTTCCTTGAGAGCTTTCATAAAGTCCTCTATGCGGTTGCGTTGGGAATACTCTACCATCGACGAGCAACCCGCTGCCTTCATCAAGGATAAGGCGAAGTTGGTAGCGTCCCCTCCAAGACATGAACTGGCCATCAACACACGGTCGTGGTAAGGGATTAACTGCGCATACAGGTATGTGTCCATTGCTGCCTGCCAACACAGAAAGTTCTCTTCTTTCTTCCCGTTGTAGGTCCACGGGACCTTAACCTTCATCTTCTCCCTCCTTTCTCCTCCTTCAGTTCGCTGTTCATTCCCCTTTCGGTTCACATCTCCTTTTCGATTTCCTCCTCCTTTTCCATCATCTCCCGGATCTCCACCATCTCCTCCTCCACCACCGCCGCCTATCTTTACTGCTGCGATGGTGTTCACAAGCTTGTTGGTGAAGATGTCTTCTAACTGCTGAGCATAATTGGCGGTCCTATCGTCAATCCGGTGAGTGGATGCGCAGAGGAAATCGTTCCACGTATCCTTAATTTTTTCTTGGTGTCGTTCCAATTTCCCTACGGTCTTCTGCAGGGCGGTCAGTTCTTGGGCGGTGTGCAGCAGGGCGTCGGTCACGAGCATCAAAGCCTCCTTTGTGTCAGTCTCCTTGCCCCTCTGCTCTTTCAACCTTCGCTGGAGCGCTTCTCCCTCCTCCCTCAACTTTTTCTTTTCTTCAAACTCCCGCCTCTTTTGACTTAACAACCACTGATGGAGGAGGTTATCCCTCTCTGCAATTAATAACCCTCTCTCCTCAGGCTCGGCCTCATCGGGCATTTCAGTGCGGAACCCAAATCTCTCCATCCATTCCCCCTCGCCGCCTTGGTGGATTTGTAAGTGACTCGCCTGGCCACTTTCTGCACCGTCACCCTTTTCTCTTCTCACCAAACTTTCTTCTTCTTCTTCTTCTTCTTCTTCTTCTTCTTCCGCCTCCATTTGTTTTTTCATTTCCTCCTCCTTCCTCTTCATTTCTTCCTCCATTTTTATTTTCTCTTCTTCTAACTTCTTTTTCAAATCCTCCTCCTTTTGCTTCTTCTTTGCCTCCTTCCTTTCTCTCTGCTCCCTCAACTTCTCAGCAATTTGGGCCTCTTCTACTGCTGAGTATGGCCGTGTGGTCATACCGGATTTGGTCGTGGTACAGTGTCTAACAGTCCGATAGAATCCCAGCGGAAAGACAATGCGGAACAGTGGCTCCCATACAACGGAGAGAGCCAGGAAGGCGAACATGGGATAGTCATCCATAGCGGTAATTCAGCACAGCAAGTGTGCTCCACCTCCTCACTACTTAGACCTACTCCTGACACTTATCCTTACCTACTTCAGGGTCTGACTCGAGCTTGACGGGGTTGTCGCTACAGTGACACCTACAGTAACTGACCTGCAGCAGCCGTCACCAAGAAAATACGTGGAAATTTCACCCAAAAACAGCAAAAAGATCCAGCAGGCAGGGCTAAGGGCAGAAAGCGCTTCACTTGGGTCTTCACGATGCCGCTCCCCTCCGGTCTTCGTCTTCTGCAGGTGCGTAGATCTCGTTCCAAACTTGATTTAGCACCTTTTTCCTTCTTCTCGCCTGCTACAGTGAAACCCCGACACGCACACACCCGCCGGCCTTATGCCTTGCCGGCTTTCTTCCACCACCGCAGTGCAACGGGTTCCAGCTCCGACACCAGTGAAATGAACCTCTCAAGATTCAATCTTAGAATATAACATGCAAATAGAGAGCAATCAGATGAAGTTCACACAAGCTGGAGTGATGTCCATGAACAGTGCAAATTCGAAGTTCCACTCAAGGTGCAATAATATACAATTGGAAAAGTTTGAGAATAAGCGGTTTGAACCGCTGCAACAAGCCTCAGGTATGTAACCAACTTCCTCCTCCCTCGGCTGCTTCTCTTCTCTCTTTCTTTCTTTCCCTGTCTCTCTCGATAGTCTCTTTCTCTCTCTCTCTCTCTCTTTCTCTCTCTCTCTTGCACTGTTCCTCCCTCACTGTTCCTCCCTCACTGTTCCTCCCTCACTGTTCCTCACTGACTGTTCCTCTCTCGACGTCCTAGATCTACCCTGAATGCTACTACGGTGTGCCTTACTGATCCTGGGTGGCTATGGCCACCGGGGAACCTCTCCCCTCTCGCCTGGCTATGGCTGACTGTAGCAGCCAGGCACTGCACACTTCTCCCCCCTTGTGCTCCTTCGTCGTCCAGGTCGCTTGATCGCACAAGCTCTTGGAACGCTTCCACAATTCTGCGAAATGAACAAGTGACCCTTTTGGCACTGTAGTCCAAGATATATAGTTGCAGTGGACTGTTTCGTTCCTGCTTCAATCGGTACTGGCCTCCTTCGGCCTCTGCCTTGCCAAAATGCTATTTTGGGAAAGTTCCCAACTTTCTTGTGAGGCTGCTGCAAAATTGTACTTTTGGGGACTTGACATGCTCCTACAGGTACTGTACGGTACTGTAGCCAACCGGCCTGCGACGCCTGATCCTACAGGCCCTAAGATTCTAATCGACGGGGGCCTGGGACTGGGATGATGTAGGACCCTGTAACCGGGACTGGGAAAGCTTGCAGTGTGAATCCATTCAACTCTGACGTTCTGAATTGAACTGCAAAGTTCGAACTTTTAAGTTATACATATAGTTATGAACTTAAATTACTAAATCCAAAGTTCAAAGTTCAAAGTTAATCATACTTTTTTCAAAAAAAAATTCTCTGTTTCTTTAGTCTTGTGCCTGCTTTGCACTGTCTGCAACTCTGCATGTCTGCTAGTTAAATGTGCTGGTTGATTTGCTGCAAGACACGTGCTCTGCTGCCTGAACTACAGAGTGCAAAGCAGGTAAGTGCCTGCCACACCACCCCCACCCACCCCCGTTTTTTTTTTTT